AAATACTGCAGGTACCCAGTCACAATTTTTATATTCTGTAAGAGTGTGAACAAAGCACAAATAAATCACCATGTCAGGGATTTCTGCTTGCTTGTCCTACTTTTCCAGCAGAGACTTGCACATAATCTACATTTGAGCAGTTTCAAAGTTGAACTAAAGTTTTATTTTAGTTTAATATAGGATACATTACAGGATTAATTCAAACGCTGGAGCAGTACAATCATTTAATTAGTGCAGGACTGTTGTCATTTACTTTTACAAGCTGCATATTTTAAATTTACACAGTAATTAGATTATCAAAAACATTCTCACTCACAGTGCATCATATACTGAAGCTTCTCCACCAAAAACCTCTATGAAACAGCTACAACCTTCAGCATCCGTTTTCAAAGTTTTTGCAGGGATGAGAATTCTTATTCTTATTAGTGCTGACACAGGAAGCTGTAACCATTTCCACCTCTGCAAGTTTGAGTCACTGAACTGGACCTCTTAACTGTGACTGTGGTGTTGGAGATCATTTTATTGGAATTAGCCAATTAACCAAAATTAACCAAAGAGCGTTAATTTTACTTCCAGCTTCAGTGAGTGGAATTCTAGCATTTCATGCCAAGTCTGTTGTGCAGAATGCTGCACCCATGAAACCTTAGTAACTGAGGTTGCTAACATTAGGTTATAACCTATCACTCCACCAGCCAGCCTCGCTGACTCATATGAGATATTAGAAAATAAAACGACATTTCTTTTGTTAGAGACCACCTTCAACATTTGTGTCACATGATTTAACAATAAAACTTTAAACTGGATATAAACGAGATAACAGGATGAATAGCTAGACCTATTCTCTGCACAAACGGGAAACATTTTGAACATGTTACCTGGTCCAGCAGAGTTTTTCAAAGAGTTCCTGCATGGTCATCTTGTCCCACTCCTCAGCATGGGGAGCTCTCCAGGGAGCGTCTCTGGGAATCTGAAATGCAGGAGGGTGTTCAGCATGAGTCAGGCATGTAGCAGGTGTGCAACCTGTCCAGTAAACCAATCTAGAATGCTTATTAATAAGAATACTCATTAATAGTGAGAACTGCTTTACCTCCTCGCCCATCTTATCCATTGTTCTAAAGAGGTTGTTGAAGTCCATCAAAGCGATGGGGTTCCACATGGGAGGCAAGGAGCCTTTGAACGGGTAAGACTTTCCCTGTTGGACACATGATTGCGGCCATCATCACCAAAACAATATTCTTCAATCATCAAATAACCATTGCTTATAAAAGCTGTGCTTAATGATGGCAGCATTCAAAGAACAACATTTCAGCATTTGCCATTAAAGATTTGTTTCAGTTGACCTCTAACTGACCGTGAAAGCAGTTTGAAGAGTGGTGGAGAAAGTGGAGTAATAGCTTGTGCAATGTTTACAACTGAATCAGAGATACTGAATCATTAAATGTGATAAGAGTAGCCATAATCTAAAGCCATAATTTTTATGCCTGGTCTAGTTTATTTCTGCATTTCTCAATCACACACAAAGACATACAAACACAGAGGTGACAGTCAGGGGTAGATGCAGTGGGTTTAAAACCACTAAAGTGTTGCCACACCACAATTGTAACTAGAGATTCATTTTTGTTGCTTTCTAGCAAAGTTCCCTTTGCTATGTGGAGGATAACAATGGTTTGAGTACATTCATTTATGTGTGTTGATGGAATCTCAAATAATCTCTCTAGCGTCATACGCTAGAGAGATTATTTGAGAGCTTGAGTATTGAGAGCTTTGCTTGACAGGAACATTTATTTCAAACCTTATTAAACACAAACTTCTTTGAAAGAGAAAAAAACTGTCTATACATCTTTGTGGAAATGCCCAAGCCTCACAGAGCTGTCAGCTCAGAGACAATTCTGGAATAACACTTACACTGTACTGTCTTGGTCTGCAGCTGCAGCTTAAACTAATAATGTCTCCTATTATTTACAGTCTCCTAACTTATTGTGTTGTGTAATGTAATACCACTGTAATAGAGCCAAAGGAAAAAACAAAACAAAAAGAATATCAAAATTGTTTAGTTCTTCATTTCATTGTAAAACAATGCAGCTGTAACTGCATTATTACTGCATTAAAGGAGACTGGAGGCATCAAGGTGGCACGGAGGGAGGTTAGCCAACTATCGGAGATGCAGAAAGGTGCGACAAAGAAGGTGCCTAAGAAGTACAGCAAGTTGTCCAATACCTGAGGCCTTGGAAACTGCCAAGCAAAGACTCACAGCCTTAGCCAGCTGCTTAAAGAGGTACACCAGAGACATAGAAAAACACCAGCTACTGGTAGACCGAGCAGTCAGCCGAGACTGCAAGACTAGGCTGACAAACCTGTGCACTCCCTGGATTGATTACAAGAAGGCCTACAACTTGATGCCCCACAACTGGATGCTGGAATGCCTAGACCTGTACAAGATCAACAGGACCCTAAGAAGAAACTAAATGTAAATTTATCAGGAACTATCAGGAACTCAATGGGGATGTGGTGGACAACACTAGAGGCCAACTTTAAGCCCTAAGGTTGTATGCTAAGCTTAAGGAAGGAGGTCAGAGGCTAGTTAGTGTCAGTACCACAGTGGCTGGACAAAGCTGGACTGAAAGACAGCACAGAGGCGCTAATCATGGCAGCACCGGAACAAGCATAGAGGCTGGGCTCTATCACCCCAGGCAAGACCCAGGTGCAGGCTGTGTAAAGATGCCCCTGAGACAATCCAGCACATAACAGCAGGGTGCAAGATGCTAGCAGGCAGGGCATACATGGAATGCCATAACCAAGTGGCCGGCATAGTGTACAGAAACATCTGTGCCGAATATGGCCTGGAAGTCTCGAGATTAAGATCCTGTCCTCAATGAGAGGACCAAAGAACGCTACTTGAAGACAAAGGTGACTGTACTGCAGAGGAGGACTTTATGACAACCATCTAAAGATAAAGATTTCACAGAACCACAGAAAATGCTAATCACTGCCCTTAGCCTTTTACCCAATTATATTGTACGCTCTTATCTGACTTTGAAAAAACATCTATTATCAATAGTTATTTTACTGCCTATTGTAATATACAGTACTGGGAAATGTTTGCTCTTCTTAATTTCTCATTTCTTAAACTACATTTAGTTTTAAAATTTAGTAAATTATTATTAGATTCGATTAATTAATACATTAATTTAGTAAGGAAAAGGCTAAACAAACCTACCATGTCCTAAATCGTGAATTTACTGTGATCAACCACATTTTTTGGAAAGTTGAACTTTGGAAAGTTCAGTTTCAACTAGCCACACTCAGGTCTGATAACTGCTGAATCCAGAAATCACTCAGTAGAACCCGTCTGACAAAGTAAAGTAGGCTAAGCGACACGTCATGCCATGATCTGAAGAAACTCAAAAACAGCTGAAGACTAAGCTGCTGACAACTATCGGTCTGGAAAACCATTTCTAAGACTGAGCCAAGTGGAGAGCTGTTATTCACAAATGGGCTACTAAAATTACTCCAAGAGTGCATCAATGATTCATCCAGGAGGTCACAAAAGAATCCAGAACAACATCTCAAGAACTGCAGGCCTCACCTGCCTCAGTCAAGGTGTTTGTGATTTACCAACAACAATTTTAAAATTTTACTAATGTAGTAAAACACTAACACACACACACACGGTATAAAAATATAGGTAATAAAGACTGATTGCTGTGAACTGCCGATGCAGGGATTGGTTCCCAGGTGTAAGATAATAAATCATATCTAAACACCACCTCTGAAGTCAGTCTAAAGATTTCTTGGATTTCTATCTTGCACAGCATTCATTATGTGAGAGACCAACATACAATGCAAACAGTTTTACATTATCTGATAGTTTCACTGTGATTATTATAGCATTCTAAGATCTGTTCAAGATCTGTTTTGTGTATATATTGTCATAGTGTTTTCTTTGTCCTTTGTCAGACTGTCTGTGTCTCATGTCTCTGTTCCTGTTTGCTATCCTCCAGTGTTTGATGCGTCAAGTGTTTTGTGAAATTTTCAGATTCTGATTATTCTCTTGTTGTTGTTTTTTTCCTGTTTAATAAGTTCTGGTTCTAGTCCAGGTTTTTCTTCCTTGGGACAAGGAGGAAGTGCAGACACTGTTGGGGGTTCTTTACCAGGGTGTTTACCGAGCTTGAACCTAGGAACAGGTGGCAGGGGGGATCTGAAGGGGTGGCAGAGGACAGCCAATTATTTTTTGGCAGTATTAATTACCCTCTGCGCAGCCTTTTTTATTCTCAGTTGGGTGATAAGGATGTCTGGGATTATAGAGTTGAATGTTGAGCTGTAGTCCACGAAGGGCATCCTCACATAGCTCTTCCTGTTAGCCAGATGGCTCAGCGCTCTGTGAAGGGTGACAGTGATGGCATTTCCAGTATTTCCAGATATTTCATTTTTCATTTTTCCCCCAAACCACTGTCCAAAAAAAAAATCAAATCAAATCAAATAAAACCCTGAGCTCAGTGTGAGCTTTGGTAAGATATTTCTTGTAGTTGGTCATTAGGTTTGCACACATTTCAGGAGTGATTTTGGCCCACTCCTCTTTACAGAAAATATCTAAATGCTTTAGGTTTTAAAGACCCCCACAGCACATTTTCTACAGGACTGGTAGAAAGGTCTGGTCTGGAGAATGGTTAAGCTGCAAAATGAACTTAACATTCTTCTTCGTTGGCCACTCCTATGTTTCTTTGGTGGTATATTTTGGGTCATTGTCATGCTGGAAGACTCATTCATATCTTCAGTTTTTTGGCCGATGGAAGAAGACTCTTGTCCAAGATTTTACGGCACATAGTCCAATTCATTGGCCCCTCTATACGGTGAAGTCATCCTGTACCCACAGCAGAAAAACAGCCCAAAACACAATATTTCCACCTCTGACTGTGGAGATTGTGTTCTTTAGGTCATACTCATCACTTCTCCTCCTCCAAACACTGTGGGTTAAGTTGTTGTCAAAGAGCTCGATTTTGTTTTCATCTGATTACATTACTTTCTTCCAAGGCTTCTCTAAATTTTTTGGGTGTTCACTGGCAAACTTAAGAGGGGTTTGTAAATGTGCCTTCTTGAGCAGGGGGAACCTTGTGAGCGCTGCAAGATTCGGTATATGGTAAATGGAGTGGTTCTTATACAGCACATTACTATTCTACTTGAACGCTCAAAGCACTTTAGCATGTCTAATGTACCCGTACCTTTTGATTAATAGATGACCTGCTCTACCTCCTGAGCCACATTATTCTCTAATTTTAGACCATTACAACCAGTGTGTAACCATTGGTGTTTTTGGTGACTGTTCCTAGTCTTGAGATCATTAACAAGCTCCTCCACTGAGTATATATGTTCTGTACGACCGTGTGTGGGGGGAGTGGCTAATTTAGCAGATTACCGTATTTACCGCACTATAAGGCTCACCAGATTATAAGGCGCACTGTTGAAGACTGGCTCTGTTTTCATACATAAGGCGCATCATATTATAAGGCGCATTAAGACAAACAAAAAAATAACTCGACCTTTATTAAGCTCATTCACAGTAACTCTTAACACTGTTAAGCTGTAACATGTTAAATATTGAAAAATATACTTTTTCCAGTACGGTACATTCAACTTCCACAATTCCCTCAAACTCTTCACCTTCCGTGTCTGAGTTACGGTAAACAGCTGGGCAATTTCGGCATCAAGCATGCCCGGATCCCTCTCACACCGGATTAAAAGGCGTTTAAAGTGCATTCAGCAGAATAAAACAATCGGATGAGTTAAAATTTAACCAACTCATTCACAGTAACTATTAACATTGTTAAGCTGTTAAACATCAAATATTGAACAATACACTTACATTTCCAGTTCATTCAACTTCCACAAATCCATCAAACTCTTCACCTTCAGTGTCTGAGTTAAACAGCTGGGCAATTTTGGCATCAAGCATGCCCGGATCCCTCTCATCATTATCTGAATCAGTCTCGTTGCTGTTACTTAGCTGTTCAGTGATTATTCCAGCCTTCGTGAAAGCTCGGACGACACTTGAGACTGATACCTTAGCCCCAGCAGCCACGATCCATTGGCAGATAGTGGCGTAACTCGCTCGGCGTTGCCTCCCTGTCTTGGTGAATGTGTGTTCGCCTTCTGTCATCCAATGCTCCCACGCAGCTCGTAATTTAACTTTAAACGACCTGTTGATACCAATATCTAGTGGTTGGAGTTCTTTGGTTAATCCACCCGCAATGACGGCAAGCTCCGAATTAGTTTGCTTCACTTGGGTTTTGACAGCCTCGGTGAGATGGGCGCGCATGGAGTCATAGATCAAAAGAGACGGAGATTTGTGGAAAAAGCCATCCGGTCTCTTGACATAAACTTCCCTCAGCCACTCGCTCATTTTCTCTTCATCCATCCAGCCCTTTGAGTTAGCCTTGACGATGACGCCGGCCGGAAACTTTTCTTTTGGCAAAGTCTTCCTCTTGAAAATGACCATGGGTGGTAGTTTCTGGCCATTAGCTTGGCAGCCCAGAACTACAGTGAAGGATGACTTCTCGTTCCCTGCGGTGCGTATAGATACCGTACTGGTCCCTGTTTTCTCGACAGTACGGTTCACGGGGATGTCAAAGGTGAAGGGGACCTCGTCCATGTTAGTGATGTGTTCTGGCCGGATCTTCTTTTCAGTGATCTTATTCTGGCAGTACGTGCGGAAAATGGCCAACTTTTCTTTGTAATCGTTTGGCAGTTGCTGTGAGACAGTAGTTCTTGTGCGGATTGAGAGATTATGCCTTTTCATAAAACGGAAGCACCAAGAAGGTCCCCCTCGAAAGTCTTGATCTGCATGTCACGTGCTACCGCTGTTGCCTTGAGTCGAATAGAGACTGTAGAGACACTTCTACCTGCTGTTCTCTGTTCAATAACCCACTGTTCAATTTAAGATAAGATAAGATAAGATAACCTTTATTAGTCCCACACGTGGGAAATTTGTTTTGTCACAGCAGGAAGTGGACAGTGCAAAAGTTATGAGGCAAAAATTAGAATACAATAAGAATAATTACAGTACACAACTGTACAGAATAGAATAAAATACTATATACAGTAGAATAAAATAAAATAAATATACAATAAGATAAAAATAGAATACAAATACAAATACTATATACAACTGAGTAAAAATACAACGATGACAGAAAGGATTATTGCACTTAGTATTATTGCATATGTATGGATGTGTGTGCTTGATCAGTTAAAGTCTTTATTATGGAGTCTGACAGCAGTGGGGAGGAAAGATGATGATAATTGATAATTTTGTCCTCTAACTGCGGCCATCGCGCCTTGTTCCCTCGGAAACTCCTTTTGGTCTTCTTTACTTGTTTTAGGTCATCTTTTTGCTTCCTCCACTTGCGCACCATGGACTCATTAATGCCAAATTGTCTCGCAGCTGCTCTATTTCCATTCTCTTCTGCATAACTAATTGCTCAAAGTTTAAAATCAGCTTCGTAAGCGTGTCTCTTCACGGGTGCCATTTTGGAGTCGTTATACACACACACACACACAACACGGTAATGTTGTGTTGAAGCACAGTACGTATTACTCCGCGAGGCTCCTGGCAACGGTAACCGTAATGCTCCAAAAAGTGGCACTAAAAATCTTTTTTTGACAGATTTTTGAGCATAGTGTGCCACATAAAACCGGTTCGAGGTCAGTAAGCACAAAACAAAATTCATACATAAGGCGCACCAGATTATAAGGCGCACTGTTGATTTTTGTGAAGATTTAAGGATTTTACGTGCGCCTTATAGTGCGGTAAATACGGTACAGTCAAGTGAACTAAAGTTAACAATGATGATAACAATGTTTTACTTTGTGTGCAAAGTAAAAAATTTGTTTTTAGTGCAAACAAAAAGATTCCCCAAAAATGCTTCAAACTCTACTGCTGATGGCAAAGAGGCTAGCTCTGTTAGCTCATGCAAAAGTTAAGCTGACAGGAAAAGTGCCAGTGGCAGAAAGTGGCAATTGAAAAATGTTGATAAAGATCCTTGTTGCCATGCCTACTGCGTGATGCCAGAAAAGTAGCAGAGACTTGGATTTCCTTTCTATTGGATAATGGGTCAGACTCAGGATATGGTGCATCATCTTCTGAACATTGTCATCATTTACTCCATCACTTAAAGTGAAGAATACATCTGGAACATGTCATGATCTGTCACAGACTACACAGACATAACATAAACCAAGAGAGCTTGGAATAGAAAATTATCTGCAATAAAAAAAAAGACACTCACATTAACATAATGCACCAAGTTCTCCTGCTCGTTGACTTTGTAGGTCTTTATGCCATACTCTTTGGCCAGACGGAGGATGCGGTTCTGTGTCGGTCCAATGTAGGCACCGCCTAGATCAACCCACTTTGCCTCCTTATTCTAAAAGACACATACTCACAATTAGATCATGACAAAAAAGAAAGAAATGTCACAGATATTTCTGAAAAGGCTAACTGATCTATGCTTGCACTTCTACGCTCATAAATGACTTGAATATAAATGTCATTTTTTTTCTGTATGCCCATTAAAAGAAATAGATACACTATCTTGGTTGTAAAATTAAAAAGGCTGGAAAGCATTTATATTACTGTTACTGATTGTCTCTTTTATGAGCCGCTCCTACAGTAGTATTGACACTCTTTGCCTTACCTGCACAGTGAAGGTACGACCACCAACCCGGTCTCTGGCTTCCAACACTACAGGATCGAGCCCACTGGCTTTCAACAGCTTTGCAGCACTCAAACCTGCAGAAGGACAGAGACACCAACAGGACTTAAACATAAGGATTCAAGCAATATATGTGCTTTCTGTACTTGTAAAAAAAGCAATAGCAAAAGGCACACAGGGATTTTAAAGGTCTTTTAAAATAAATGACAAAAAAGGCTTCCAAAAATCCCCTTCTCAAAGAAAAACATTGTTTTTGCGCTCTATTAGATCACTCAAAACCAGATCAAGAGGATCGTTTGGAAAATCTGATAAGAAAGACAAAGATTTGAACTTCTTTGTTTATTTTTAAAGTAAATCTGGTTTCTCTTATGCTAGTTAGGACACTGTTATACCATCAACAGGTATTCCCACTTTAATTGTTTTCCGTTGTGCATTTACACTGATTAGCTTTTAGGTAGGCATGCAACTCTTAAATAAAATTACATAACATTTGCTTTTCAAATGAACTGAGAGAGCTCTGGGGAAAAAAATAGAGGGGGCAGGGGGGATTGAGGTTCTCAACAAATCACAAACCAGCCAACCAGCTGATCATGTGGGGAGGAAGAGCAAACAAGTAAAGCACTGAGCACTGGCTCACCAACCACAGAGTATACAGTAGATAAACAGCTTGTCATACACTGACCTCTGGCATATGGAGTATGGGTATGTCACAGGTTTTGCTGTGAGACTGGGCGGGGCAGACATCTCCGAAATCATCGGAGCACTTTTGCAAATAGGCTCGATCTTGACAAACCGACCAGATATCTGAAGATTAAACCTCTACATTCTCGGCTAAAAAAAATATTTAAACTGTATTCGGTGACATACAAACAGGGTATTTAAAGGCAAGTTCAGTTAGTTAGAGAAATGTCCAATAAAAAGACTGGCCACCAGGCCAAAGCAATGGTTTTTACTCGAACACCATTAACCCCACCCCCTGAGTTTGATGGGTGAGGTTGGCAGATAAAAGTAATTCATGAAGAGAGCCGCAGGGTCAGGACTGTCAAAATGAATTAAATAAATACATCATTAAATAATTGATTAAATGTGTTGATAATTAAATACAATTTGAAATAAATAAACACATAATTTATTCAATGTTTTAAATGAAATTAATGGGCATTTAATTAATTATTTAAACATTTATTTAATTAATTAATTTAAATTTTAATTAATTAATGACAAATTTAATTATTTATTTAATAACGTATTTCATTCATTTATTTCCTCACTCCTGGCCCTCCATACAGCTCACGTCCTCTTATGTAACACAAAGTATGCGCTGGTTGATTAGCTGTTACTCAACTTGCTCTGCTGTTGCTGCGGTGATACAGAGGTGAAAGAGCTGGAGAGAGGAGGAGAGGGGAGGTAGCCTCACGGAAGAAGAAGAAAAACACTACGAATAATGAAAAACTCTCCGTCACTCTGCACGCACGCACACACACACACACACACACACACACACACACACACACACACACACACACACAGAGCTTCTTCCACTGTGGAAGCTCTGTTCGAAGCTTTGGCTTAAATCAGTTTATTTGCTCAGCTCGTCCGCACAGCCTGCACACCAAACTAAAGTTTTCTAACGTGCAGCCTACCTGATATGCCCGCGCCGACCACTATAACGTCGTAGGTGTTGCTGGGTGCAGTCATGTTGCTGGGTGGTGTGTCTTCTTTCCCCTCTTGGCCGTGTCAGCTCCGGATCCAGATACGCACCCTACCGAACGTAGGGTGCGTATCTGGATTAAAAAGCGCCGGGCAAGCCCACTCCCTGCAGAGACCGCCCACCCATAGTAAAGCCCTACCCTGTGGGCATGGAGGGCCATTAGGAAAAAACATTTTATGGACTACTACTACTAATAATACTAATAATAATAATAATACCTGGGGTTTTTTTCATCACCCGACGACAGCTCTTCTCCAGTACTCTGCTACGGATCTTTTGCGGCTCCGTTTTTGCCTGGCTGTCTCTCCACCTGTGGCTCTATACTTCTACCCGGTGTTCCAGATCTACTGGCGTTTAGATCAACTGGCGTTAGTCGAACAGATGTGTGGCAGACTTGCATTTCAGGAGCTGCTACCGACAAACCAGGAAAAAACGCCAAATGTGTCATCTGTGACACTTGTGAGGTTATCTCAAATACACTCCGTCAGTCTTGATGCTGTTGAACAACAAAATGTTTAAAAATATCGCGAGTTTACCTGGTGATATTCTCATGCGCGACGCGAAAACAAACAATTAACACCACGCCGATGTTGTCCACAGGACAGCAAGAGTAAACGATCGGGGGAATCTTGTCGTCGTTATCGTTCCCCTCGCACGTGTTATTACTCCGATTTCAACGATTTTGCTTCACAACTAAAGCGAGCAGTTTACTTTGTGCGCACTTACATGGACTCGAATCTACCAGCGCCACCTCTGGCCAAGTACCACAGCCTACAGCCAGATCAACTTGTGACACACATCTGCAGCACGTTTGAATTCGTTTCATGCACGATACATTTGTACCTTTCAACTGTGTCTGTTTGTGCGTCATGCAAATAAACCTTTGAACTGAATGAAATGATATCATGTACTTATTTTTGGCCTACATCAGTAAGAAATGCCAAATTATATACACAAAATCATAGAAATCACCACTCCAATTGGTCATCATGATTTTAATATTTTCTTTTTCCATAACAGTGAAATACGCCTTGGACAACTATGACACATCAATATTTCATTAGTGTTGTCACATCACATCCTGTAAGCATCGTCTGCCTGTGTCTTTTTCCTGGAAATGAATATTTTCAGCCAATATAGGCAATCCATCAACATGACTGGAGAGTTAACTCTCCACACTTGTACAGACTGTATATAACTACCAATTGGTAGTTATATACAGTCTGTACAAGTGTGGTTAATGCAATAAACATTTGTAAGGAGGTGGCAGTTACTGTGAATTTACAGCAGTTACACAGTGATCAGTAATAAACAGAGCCAGTGAGAGTGAGTGGATATAACAGAGTCAGTAACTCAGGTGTGTCGATTGGTTTGTCATCTGTTTTTGAGGCTGGAGGAGACGTAGAAATCATTTGTCTTAAATCTAAGTTAGGAAGATTCATGTTTTAAAACAAGCACTTTTTGTCAGAAATGCAAGAAGTACATCTACAGAAAGCACAGTTACATTCTGTCCATCATGTGGACAAAATTGAAAATGTTGAACATTGAAAAACTGAGAACATCAGGCAAGTTCAAAAGAAATGTGTTTGTAAGAACGAAACCTCGACTAAATTGTTCCTACAAATAGTTATGGAAAGTCAAACTGTGTTGTATGTCTAAATGTTTATCTAATGGAAAGTAAAGTTGCTTTTGTTTTATTGCAGTTTTTTTTGTTTTTTTTTGCCTGTCCCGTTTGGCTCTTTTGCCATCAGAATTGTTGTCTAAAGGCAAAGAAAGATGCCCAACGGATTTACTTTACCAAATTGACCATCCCAGCCTTGCCGTAATGGTCCATTTGATTCACCTTTTATTGTTTATTTTATTTTCACTTACTGAATACGGGACAGACTTGACTGGGGGAAAGAAGGGGAGAAAGAAAGAGGGAAAGAGAAACAGCTGAGAAGAGGGACGGGGGAGAAGGGCAAAAAACATAAACCAACAGAATGAGCAGAGAAAAAAAAAATGCATATATCGATCACCTGGGTCACCTGCTGAGAAAGAAAAAAGAAAACAAGCAGAACAGAACAAGAGTAATAGAATAAACAACATCACAATGATATATGGGAATATGACAGTAAATACTAAATATTAAACATTATTGTGCAGCACATAAGATCAACAGAACACAGTGTGCTTTGAGGTAGGAGCCAAAAAGGGTGTAGTTTGTGGGTGTGATCACCCGTGTGTACACCTGTGAGCATGGACGCGCTTGTTTTTATAAAAAAAAAGGTTCCTTCATGTTATGATCTGCTAGAGGGTGTGGGGGGGCCACAGCCCCGTCCTCCAGGGCATGAAGCAGGTATGGAGGAGATCAAAACTCCAGACATCCAGAGGCCCCCAGAACACAAGAGACCAAGGAAGACCAACAGAGGGGCAGCCGCGCCACTGTCCCAGAAAGAGCTGAGGAGAGTCTCAGATGAGGGCTCACTCAGCAGCCGCGGAGCAGAAGCCAGGGGGGAGTTGCAGTGACGCGCCCGTGAGCTCCGCCGGCAGCCAGCCGTGCCTGAGTGACCGAGACCCAGGCCGAGAGGCCGGGGGCACCCAACCTCCGAAGTGGCCCCAGCGAGCCCCAGGCTCCAGGCCCCGATAAGCGGCCGCTAAGGAGTGAGCCGGTGTGTACCTGGATGCCCATCCCCGGACACAAAGAACCACCAACGCACCGACACCTGAGGGAGTCCGCCACTGGCAGGGGAAGTGGTGGTAGGGGGAGATAGGCCTCCAAACCTTGGAGGGCCTGAGATGTCCCCAGAGAGGTGGCGCCTGACACCCAACCTGACATATAGACACAGACCATACAGGCACACACATATACAAACATCCATTCCCACCCTCATGCTCTCATATGCAATTACTCCACACTCAACCAAAGTGGAGACAGACATAAAGAGACGCTGTACACACGATCACACTCCCCAAGCGTACTCTACGAACCGGGTCTAGGTACCCTTGCCCCTGGAGGGGGGAACTGCACCCAGACCCAGGTGGTGTTACCCTTTTCCCTGCGGTGGGGGGAGGCAGACCGCCCCGACTCCGCAGCAGCAGGGAGGCCCCACACTCCAGACCGCAGTCGGACGGCCAACTCCTCCTCCTAGCCCCCCCCGCTCCAGCAGGCTGCAGAGAATGGGGGGTTATTATTGCAGTTTTTTGACAACTCTGAGTGGATTTACACAGTACAGGTCAAAATGACCCGCAACAGAGCTGGCTCTATCACCACGTTTGAACTTGTTTAATGCACAATACATTTGTAACTGTCATTGTTTTCAGTTTTTTCTTAAAAAAACCGTTTAATTACATGAAATGCAATTTTGCTTATTTTGATCTTATCATACACTTGAAGATTCCGAAATCAGCACTCCTTTTGTTTAGATCATTTTCACAGCAAAGTTCACTGCGGATGTGCCACAATTTAAATCCCATTCTTCAAGTCTCTATCCTGTTTCTGCTGGTGTGCCCCAGGGTTCAGTATTAGGGCCCCTTTTATTCATTCTTTATATGCTTCCTCTTGGTCATATATTCTGAAAATATAATATAAATTTTCACTGTTATGCCGATGACACCCAGCTCTACATTTCTTCTAAACCCAATTCATCCCTCCCACCTCCCTCCCTCTCAGACTGTCTTATTGAGATTAGATCCTGGTTCTCCTCCAATTTCCTCAAACTTAACAGTAATAAAACTGAAGCTTTACTTGTTTGTACACCATCTATCTTAACCAAATCCCACAGTTTTTCCATTAACATTGAAAATTCTCCTACCCTTCCCTCCCCTCAGGCTAAGAGTTTGGGTGTCATACTTGATAATACTCTTTCATTCCAGTCTCACATTAATTACATAACACGGTCTGCTTACTTCCACTTACGTAATATTAACAGACTCCGTCCCTTCCTTACTCCCCATGCTGCTGCCATCCTTGTCCATAGTCTTATTACGTCCTGTATTGATTACTGCAATTCCCTCCTATTTGGTCTCCCTAAAAGGTCCCTTCATAAACTCCAACTTCTTCATAATTCTGCAGCTTGGGTCATAACTCGTACTCTGTTAAGAGCTCATATTACCCCAGTTCTTCAGCAACTTCACTGGTTGCCCATAGAAGCCAGGATAAATTTTAAGATCTTACTTCTTACATACAAGTGTATCCATAAATCTGCTCCTTTATATTTGTGTGACCTGCTCCATATCACCACTGTTTCCCGCCCTCTCAGATCATCATCTGCTCTTCATCTTACTGTTCCGTCCTCACACCTTATTACTATGGGGAACAGAGCTTTCAGTCGCTCTGCTCCTCGGCTCTGGAACTCTCTTCCTCCAGCCATAAGAAATATTGACTCCCTCTCCGTATTTAAGTCACAGCTCAAAACACATCTGTTTAAACTGGTTCATTCGCTTTAGTGCTGATTTTATCTGTTGTCAAGTTCTGCTTTGCAATTTTAACTTATTTTATGTATTTTATGACTATTGTTCCTTTTATTCATTTTGTTCTTTGTAAGGTGACCTTGGGTTTCTGAAAGGCGCCCTCAAATAAAATGCATTATTATAATAATAATAATTATTAATATTATTAATAATAATAACAATAATATTTTTAAACTTACTATTGACTCAAATTTTACTAAGAAAATGAAATACACAAAAACACAATTCATTCATCCACGTATAATAATAATTCATTAATAATTCATTCATTGTCTTTTTCTCCTTTGTACTTTTGTTTTAATCCATCCATTTATTTATTTATTTTTGGCTCTGTGCAAATTTTAGGAAGTCCCATGGCCTGTAGGGAGTTTACTCGTAACTTTTTTTTTAATGAATTTGCATTATTTCTAAAAGCATACATATATTTACTACATTTACTACAGAGTCCTCTCCCCACTCCCCTACCTCCCTCGCTTCCCCCCCTTCCTGACACCATGACACCCCCCTCCTCCAATCCCTCTCTCAGCAGCAAGACATCTCGCCCCCTCCCCTCCTCCCCAACATCTCCCAGTGTCACAGTGGATCAGGTCAGGAGACAACTGAGGAAGCTTCGCCCCAGAAAGGCAGCAGGCCCAGACAAGGTGTGTCCTAGGATGCTAAAGGCATGTGCTGCTGAACTTGGGGAGCCGCTACAACGAGTCTTCAATCTCAGTCTGCGACTGGGGAGAGTGCTCGCCCTGTGGAAGTCCCCAAAAGGAACCGGCCCAATGAGCTGAATGACTTCCGACCGGTAGCACTGACGTCACATCTTATGAAGACTCTAGAGCGGCTCTTCCTCAACCTCCTCCAACCACAGGTACAACATGCCCAGGACCCACTACAGTTTGCCTACAAGGCGGGTGTCGGAGTGGAGGATGCCATCCTGTACC